AAGTTGCAACTCACTCGACGGGACACGGCCATATTTTCAAGTTTAAGGAGGCCGAGGTGACAACCGCGTGAGCAGCGAGCTGCTCGAGTCATGGTTCTCAGGCGCATAGTCAGTCAACAAGCGCACCGATTTAGCGTTCCCATACTGCGTACTGACACCTTGCCTGAGCAAGAGAATCAGTCACGTGGGAAAGGCCGGGCCCAGTAACAACTCCGACAACATTGAACATAATTGTCGCGCGATTATCAAGTCCGCATCCGACACGGACAACGAAATCGCGGCCACTATTGACTCGCAAGCTAACGGCCAAGCGATCACCGTACCAATTACCACCCCAAACGGTGATTACAGGAGTTGACAATTATAGTACGGACGCGGATGACAGCTACGAACTATAAATACCGCGCAATCTGTACATGTATCACACCATCCTACGGTTACCTATGATTAAGGATTCTTGACAGAATCCGAAACGTCAGGAAAATAAAATTCGTGTTGCAGTAATCACATACTTTTCTTCCTCTGAAGCAAGCCACTGTCTACCGACTTCGGGGCAATAGCGGGATGTGCAGCTATGTTGGAGAGGCCGGTCAACAGCCGCAAACATGAGTGCATGAACATCATTTGGCCGTACGAAGGTTGGAACCAAAGCCGAAAATAGCAACTCATGCTGTAGCGATGGAGGAACGTCTTAAACGTTGACGCCGTTAAAATTGTGGGCCGAGGTGACGACCGCACATCAAGGCAGATTAATGAAGCCTGGATGTTGAAGGACTGTTCGGTAGACCGCTACATAAATTTGCCCACCCCTATCTGGTCTTCTCAGGAGACATTCACGTGGTGGACCAATCGGAGCTTTTAAATATTTCCGCAGCCAACGAGCGCGGGGATGAAGCAAGCCATGGGGACACGGAGGCAGACGCAGCACCACGGACGATCAGCAGAGAGCACGGCTATGACCAAACAAGTGACAGCGACATACGAGCCATACGCAGCGGCTCAGTTGGTATCGACAGCATACGCACACAGAAAATAATGGTGTATAACGAGAGCCGTGAACCCGAATGTTCAATCTCTAAAGGTGGGTGGACGACACAACTACTAGAAAAGTCAGACCTCTAGTAAACCTCTCCCGGTGAACGCTCTCTGTTCTTATGATATAACGTGTACTTTTCCTACTAGTTCCGGGTAACTTAACGTGCCGTGGACTATCAACTGCATTGCCTTCGATTACCTACAGTTTATTCTAGGATTTCGCACAGTTTTTTCTGTGTTTTGTATAAATTTTCTGCTTGAACTGTCAGTAAGGATGACTTGTATGGTCGCCTGAACAAGACACTGAAAAAGGACGCTCTGCTTACTTAAAACAGGTGGCATTCTAGGAAGGGTAAATAGCACCGTGTCCTAGCTCAAACTGCAACCCTTGCATAACATTGAACTACAACGTTGGACGTAACGCTAACTCCGCCCTAAACCTAAGCTCATAGAATTAACGCGGGCCCAAACCTTACACATTAACATAATCCTTATTCTTACTCTAACCTCTAACTTAACTGTAAACCTTGCCCTAATGGCAAACCTTATTTTCCTAGAATTTGGAGCAAAGCCACATGTACTGTGGGCTGTTTTGGTGGCCTTCAAAGTCATCCTTACCAAACGGTCTACTGAACTGTCTGTCAGATAACTGTTACTTGAAGAACATTTCCATGCACCTGGTGTTCAGTTGTAATTTTTTACGAAACTATCTTGTTTCCGATTCGGTGTCCGGTGTGTGCTGAAACATTGTGTGGATCCTTTCATATTGTGGAAAATACGTAAACCGGCAATACTCCTTCAATGACGACAATTACTTCTTTTACTTCTTTTTCTTCCGACAGTTGATGAAATCGTAACCATCGTTTTTTACAAATGCGGATGGATCATAAAATAGAAGTTCATGTTATTTAATCAGTACTGTTAGAGCTACTGTTGTTGAAGATTCTTCTTGTAAAATCGATGGTGTTGGTAGACCATTGTTAGAGGTTTCTAGCAGCCTATAAAAGAAGGAAATCCTAATATGGCGGGTTAGGTTGAAGAAACTGTATCTCGTCTCTCAGTCTGTTTCTCAGGATACTTTTCACAATTTTTGTTTGACGTTTCTTTTGATGCAGTTGCACCATTACAATTTCTCTGATTACTGATTATGACCTGGGAATAGGGACCTGGATAGTGGAGGGCCCTTTGCGTAAAATTCCAGAAAGGTTAAACTTTATAGAGTTAGTACACGAAACCTTAGCACTAGCCCTACTTTCCATGTAATTTAGCGCAAGGCACTCGAACTAAAAGGAATTCCAGTCCCGTTTCTTCCCGATTTGTGAGAACAGCTTTCACCTTACCTACGGTTAAATTTCGCTTGCTTTATGGGGTGTCACTGTTTCTGACTAATACTTCTACCGATCATCCCTAGCCAACTTTGTTGTCAGCTTTTGGAGATGGCGGAAGGAAGCATCGTTAAGAGATCTGAGTTGAGTCGTCTCAGTCGACAGCTGCAGGGTTCTTCCGCTGATCCAGTCACTGCTACGCCGCTAAATGAAACCAATAATTTACT